TATATATATACCATATATGATAAGTATGCACATAAACATGAAGGAACAGGCCATAATTATTATTCTAACTGACCAATGTCCGAGGAAAAGGCACTGCAAAAGCAGGAGCATGTGTGGTATGCAAAAATGCAGTTACTTTTAATCACTGGGATTAGGAGTGTGCACCATGTCATTTGTCTCTGCACTACAGTTGACTTAGCAGTGGCTGAACTTGGCAGGGATGCCCATAAGCTGTCATGTCATGGGCTCTAAGTGAAACAATGCCTGCACTTCTTGATATATTATTATGGTCTGACTTTTTTTCTTTCTTTTTTGGGGGTAGAGTGTTTTACGGCGCTCGCAACGGCCTTAAGGCCATATGAGCGCGCGGGACACAGTAAGCCTTTTCAGTTTGGTAGGAATTTAAAACTTTGCCCGGATGGTGGCCGAAGCCTACTCTTATCGATTTTAGATCCACCATGGGATCTTTAACCTGCGCAACTTGCACACGGGACCTCCGAGATTTTTCACCCGTATCCAAGACGGCTAGGTGTTAGACCTTACCTACCCTAAGATCAGGGATGTGGCTGAAAGACAACAGTATGGAGCCAAAGAGTAGCAGGAGAAAGGCTGCAGAAAGAGCCAGGACCCCAGAGAAGGGTGCAAAGGGGAGAGGGGGAGGAGGAGGAGACAGAAAGTGGGGGAAGAAGCAGACAACAAAACAAGGTTAGGAAATGAGGCAAAAGGATTAAGTTTTCCGTCGCAGTCAGGTTTCGAACCCTGGACCTATTGAATCGGAGGCGAACACTGTAACCTCTAAATCACGACAACCCCGAAGTTCCGACTTTTCATGGTCAGGTGAGCTACTGCAGTGTAAATAATATTTCTTCAAGAAACCAGTGGTCAGACTATATTTTGACTTCCTCTTCCCCCTCCCCCTATCTGCCTACACTCTCAAACATTCTTAAAATAAGTTTAAAAGCTTTTTTTTCTTCTTTTTTTTTGGGGGGGGGGGTTTGCATATTACATGTATGACGTCTCGGGGACCCAAATGTGACATCACCAAGGAGGTTACAGTTTGTTTTAAGCTCCTTGGGCACCACTGAGAGTGGACACCGGATTTTTGTAATAGATCAAGTGCATTCCGAAAAGAGAGCTCAAGTTTACGTTTAGGGCACGATCCTACCTTCAACAATACAGCGGTATTTATTCTTCTGTTAAAAGTATGGGGACAAAAAGACCTACACTATTTATTTCTCAGGCTGATAAATTATAGACCTAGACCTCTAGAGTGAGGTATTTTTACCGCAGGTGTGGATGTTGAAACAAATTTCAAAATTTGATCATTTTGATAGCGTGATTTTTTTTAACCCCTTAATGAAATTTTCTAATAACGTGAGGAAAAAAATATTTAAAAATTACAGTTGACTTGCATTCAAACTCGAACTTCCAAGTGGAAACAAAAGTTGTCAAATTACCGTTTGGAGCAAGACCATAGAAAGGTATGTAAAGAAGGGCTACGTAAGAAGTACTTCACCAAACACACACACATTCATACACATGCACACACACACACACGCGCACACACACACACACACACACTCTCTCTCTCTCTCTCTCTCTCTCTCTCTCTCTCTCTCT